ATGAGACAATAAAATTTTTATTCAAACAAATAATATTTCATATAAATATATGTTGTTTCTGTGAAACAAATTGTAGTCGAATAAATAGAAATAATAAATCTAAAGAGACCTTTTCTCTCTGTGTATGTATCGTGCTTATAAAATATCTTTCTCCCACACAAGCGTGCTTAAATATAGTTTCCCAGTCAAATAGGAGGAAGAGAAAGAGAGAAAGAACACGCTTCCCACGGAACCTTCGGCCTACACTACGACCTAGTTTCTCCTGCCCCCGCAGCCCCTTCTTCCTCTCCTCTCCTACCATTTCGATGTCAACGTAAGAGCGCTTTTTGAATAACGCGAGTGTGCATACCTGCACAGCAATCTTGCACCGCGCTTTAAAACTTGTTGTGTTTATTAATAGCGATACTAAACTCGACACTGTATAAATGTTTTATAAATTTGGCCTTATATTTTGCAATGTATCTTTCTTCTTTTTATATACATCGTATTTTGTTTTCACCGAGAAAGCCCACGCATACCGCTCAGATTCCCTAACTTTTGTTATTTTTTCTATTCTATTTTTATCATTTCCACACACACGCATAAATAAATTAATAGTAAATAAATATCCGAGCGTGAAAAAAATTACAGTGTGGGGTAATAACTATTACCACTCTGAGTAACTTCGATTAAAAAAACAATCTTTGACCTTTAAATCTTTGAAGCTATTTTGAAAAACTTTACCGCCATAATACGATTATAATACGTGACATAATACGCGCGATCCGTATTAACTCTGATATTAGTCGGATGGAATCCATTTGATTCATCAACTAGTTTTAGTCGTTGCACGCAGTCTTTTACATCATTGATCTCATGCTGACTCGCGTGAGTGTAATAATGAGAAGCGTACGAGAAGTTCCTTTCTATCTCACTTCTTTGTAGCAAAACGTTCGTATCGTGCATTAGAATGCAAGCACTGCTTATTATGAGCAGTGTTTGCCTTAGATGATTTCAGATTCATCTAGATCAGATGAAAGTCCGGTGAATCATCTTAGATGGTTTTGCTTCTCATTTATCTAGATGAAAGATAAATGGCTTATCTAGATATGCGAAATGCCAGTTGAATCATACACACGATTTCCAAAGCGAATTATAAATATTTGTCTCCGTTTTCTTATCTCGGCAAATATTTGACGCTCTGCTGATTCATATTATTTACATATTTTCGTTCGCATCCGCCGGTTTGCGCGGGCTAATTGACGACAGTGCCGTGAACGTTCGCAAGGATTTTCGACTGCTCGAGTTTTAAGGATCCCTCGGACGTTAATTAACATTCGTTCGCCGACGCGTTGAGGCAGGAAACGCCGTAATAATCCACGCGTGAGCGCGCACACTTAAATGGAAGCTCCCACATCTGGCGGACAGACCGCTCCATTATAAGCGTCGTCCGCCTTTGTCCCACCTCGGCTCGCTTTGACCGAAGTGTCTCGTTAGTTTGTCCGACCCCATGAGCATTGTCGGAACTGTTATACTCGAAATCTTTTTTACACGATGGTCCGTGCGAAGAATCTCTTCGATCTCGAATTTCACGGGCTTGAATTTCACAGATAAAACCGATAACCAGTGTTTACCATAGATCTAGATGAAGGCGAGATGAAAAATTCGTCTTAGATGAGATGACTTTGCTTTTAATTTATCTAGATGAAAGATAAGTAGTTATTGTACTTACGCTCGGTACTATACAGTAGCCCAAATATGGAGTGTAGAAATTAATTTCTCCTCTTTTTTCTTTTTTAATTGAAATACGAAGGGTAAATTGCCTAATGTATTGTTTGCCAGACGCCATCGTGTTTATTGCGCTCACGGTAAATTGTTTTATTGTGTTAGCCCTAAAGCCCCTGGCGGCAAAAACTTTCCGCTTAAATAAGTGTTATAATTGATTTAATATTAGAGTCGAGAATGTACACCTAATAATATAAGGCGTGACAGTATAATAATACGACCGGTCACCGGCAGTCAATTGTTAATTAATCAAATTATTCAGTCTGTTGGAGCACTATTGATGGGATTGGTCGGTTGGATGTTAATCGATCGGGATACGTTCCTGATGTCGTACGCCGAGGAGCGACAAAAACTCGAAGTGTCTCTGTTCCTCATGCTCGGTCTGGGGATTATCTTGGTCTTCGTTGGCATATTGGCCTGCTGCGGCGTTTGCAAGAAGTCTCGATGCAACTTGACGACCGCCTTCTGCGTAATGTTGGTTATCATCGTCTGGCAGACCTCCTTCTCAGTCTGGGTCATGTTTAACTCCGACTATTTGAAGGAAATTTTAAAGTCCAACATGATAAATACCATAAAGGTAAGATTTGATTAATTTATTAACTCTGTAGTATTATTTCACAAATGTATTGATTGCGTCGAAAAATGCTATCGAATCTTAGAGAACCCAACGTCAATTTAACCGAGACGATCGTACGTCGAAGAAAATTAAACTCTATTTCTGTTGTTGCAGAATGAATATGGTGTGATAGAATCTCGCACGCAGGTGGTGGACGCGTTCCAATACGAATTGGAATGCTGCGGGTTCACCGGACCCGCGGATTGGGCCGGCAGCAAGTACGCGAACAAGGATCCATCTCTTCCTTTCAATTTGACTGTTTCCGGCGCCGTCAACAATATATACAATGTGCCAGAGTCGTGTTGCAAGATGACCGACCGGAACATTTGCAACGACACTCGTCAATTGAAAATCGGCGGAATCGTGAACTCCGCGATCCACAGCGAGGTAATTTATTTTCAGGGAACAAATCGTGGAGTGTTCAAATTTTAATTATAATTTATTATTCATTCAAAAAGAGTTACATAAAAGAAGTAATTTACACACTTTTCAATGCGCCATCTTTCCGATAGCTTTCTTGAGGAAAAAATTATTCCGGCTGCAGAGCAGCTTCGATGACTTTTTCATTGGAACGAGACTTTTTTCCCTTCCTCTTTTAAGAGTCCAAACCTGTAAAAAGGCGTGCATAAAACGTGTCAAAAAAAAATCGTGTAGAAAAATACCGTGTGAAAAAAGACGTATCTTACGGAAATTGTGTGCATTCTCGCTCCCGGTATCATTAAGCGAGACGACTGCAAGCTCAGGGAGCTTCAACACGGAGCATTCACATTGAGAATTTTTTTGCAGGGCTGCATGGATAAATTAACGACCGAACTGATGAGACAGACCACCATAATCGGCATCATCTCAATAGGCTTCGGGCTGCTGCAGGTTCTTTTCGTATGCACCTGCATAATATACGCACAGACGTTTAAGGCAAGATACAAGGATTAAGCTGGTATATATCTTCGTCGCGTTTCGCAAAACATTCTTCCTCGCCGAACGTCTCTCCACAATATCAATACGGACAGTCGAATTTCTTCTCGTTTCCATATCGACGCAACGGCGGCTACTTCGTAAATTACGCGTTATGCGATGAATCGGTACTTTCTATTTATTTCTCGCGCAGAGCATGGTAAACGAGAGACTTGTTCGTGAAAACACGGGTCGTCATCGGGGCGTCGTTTTCGACACGGACGACCGTATTCATCACTCTGTTTCATTGGTATGGCATTTATTTTGAAACCAGGACTGGCTCGTTCGCGTTCTCTTAACGCTTCATTATTCTCAGCGAATAATTCAATGTCTGTAATAACGAATCTGTACTTTTCTACATACGTAAGATCGATTTGTGTAAATTCGATTCTTTTATGAAGGGGTTAGATAGACTTTTGCGTATGTATATACAGCATAAAAGTGACGTTTATCACAAGATAATTACTATCAGGAGCAATTTATCCTTTCGATGGATTTATCTGAGAAATCGTCGAATTCGGACCGACGATTCCTTACACACATACTTTCTGTAATTGTGTAAAACAATATTATGTGTAGATATCAACGATATCTAGCGGAGCTAAAGAAGAATCTCGATTTTTTTTACCGACGTACACTCGCTCGCGAGACGCACACATTTGTTTTCAAATATGCATTGTCTCGAAAAATCAGAATCTCGAATTTCGGAAATTGAAATTATCTCCCAATAATTTGTAATACCGAATCTTGAATATCAAAACGATGTATCCCACGTTACAAATTTCCCGAATTATTTCATTCGGCGGGAAATTTGTGTTAATTTTACCTCGAAGACAATACGTACTGAAGTATATTAATTATGTAGCCACATATGGGCAAAATTCATATATAATTATATATAATTATATATAATCATATATAATCATATATAATCATTTTGTTCCCAGGCTATTCCATCGAAAAAAAGTGCATGCAAACTGTCGTGCGAGTGTATGAATGATTGGATGTTAAAAATGTAAAGATATAAAAGGAAAAAGGAGAAAGAAGAATGTTATCGCGAATTTATACATGACGGACGTTTATTATATATATATATATATATATAATATATATATATATATGATTTTTCTCACATTACTACCAAATGCTCTTCTATATATTTATATATAGAAATGTATATATACGTACGTGTATACATATATTTTTCCAGTTTGAAAAGACTTGTATAAAAATAGAGGCATTTAATTTTTCGCAATGAAACCTACGTAGTTAGGTTTCTCTTCGGGCCAAAGTAGTAAACCAAACTAGCACGTCGCGCCGGCGAAAACGAAGCGAAAAAAAAGTTTTACTTTCAACGACACACGAACAGCTGCTAATGACACGCGTGACACCTATCAGGAATACATTACTTTTACAACAGAAGACATATTTGTAATTTTTCATTGTATCCGACGTATATCCCTAATCTTATCGACACTTCTGATATATCTTAAGTGATTATTAAGTTGTCGAGGGGTTCTTGCTTGTCCAAAGCTGCGCCTCGCTCGAACTGATATCCGTATATCGCGCGTTATATTGTAACGCGTGTGTTTTATGATCTGAATGCATACATACACGTATATGCATGCGTGTGTGTACAATAATCTTAAGAAATCCCGTCAGTCGATGGATATCCTCAATATCTTCCACCAATCAAATCTCCGTACGAATATCTGAGAAAAGAATACGACGAATTGACGCATACCTACAATGCCGATCGATGTAGCCTCAAATCGGTGTACTTTGTAGTAGTCTACTCCAGGTGGAAGAGAAAATCGCTATGACGTCAAAATGACGGGATGACTGTGCAGACTAATTTCTCGATTTGATCATTACATGATATTGTATCAATATGATGTTATCATTTCTCATTCAGCAATCTAAGTACAATACATGTTATATGTGATAGTTATATCGCTCTGAAAGAGGGATATTATATAATTATATTATACATATATGTGTATATACACACACACACAGATATATATTATAATTATATACATATAATATATTGATATAATATATTGAAATATTACCGTGAATTTTAAATTTGGTCTGGATTTTTGAAATCATTCTGACAGTATCGCGATTCTCTGTTCACCTGGGACGGCGCGATCGTCGAAAGTGTCTAGTCTGTAAACGATTAATGCTAATTTATCGAACTTACTTGCTTTATATACCACAATATATATATATATATACCTATGAACATGTTATATTTTATATATGTTATTTTTATATGCGTATATTAATGATTAATGAATAATTAATGATTACGTCTTAATGATTTTTTTCCGTATGTCTCCTGTGAGGTATCAGCGAGCGCTGATATCAACGAGATCACCATTCGCTGCATTTTCGCATACTTTTACGTAGCTTCTCTCCGGCTTTCGTCGGCGTTAACGAAGACGAAATGACAATTAAAATCACGCAACGATCTGAAATCTTAATAATAATTCGCATCGTGAATTACCAAATTTTTATACACGTTAATGTGTACTCGGTGCAATATTGTTCGCGACGCGTATGATCGTGGACGCACAGATTGACGCCCTCCGACGAAGATTTTACTTCGAACAATGCGACTGCCGTCCAATAGGAGAATTCGTTTCTAGAGGATTCTCAGAGAAAAATCTCGAGAAACTTTTCTCAGAAAAAATAGAAGGAATCACACATAAAAGCTTTTTTTAAATCGGTTACTTCTCAAAACTTATCGATCGACGACCGAGAGGTTTTCTCGTATAAAAGTTCGACGAATTGACTGTTCGTCGATCGACGCTGACGAGATTCGCAACTGAATTTTACTGTACGTTTTTCCGCGATACAAGTCGCATTTGTACCGTTTTCTTTTTTTTCATTACAAGGAAAAAGATAAATTTAATGGCGTATAATAAGGTGGTCGATGTTAATGTCGAAGTTGACGCGAGGTAATTATTGTTCGTAAAGTATAAACAATGTGGAACGGCGCGTAACAGCAATATATGTTTCAGGGCTCGAAATCGTACATGATATATTTTATCGGTTCTGCATTAAGGAGATGTTCTTGTTTAAAATGTCGTTTTGTAGGTAATTTTTAGAAATTTTTCAACTGTAAGACGTACTATAATCGCGTAATATCCCTTATGGATTTTCAATCGAAGTCCTATTCTTCGTCAATATTATTTCACGAATTTCCTTCGTAACTATTTGCATAACGAATATCTGTACGCACATTCGAGCCTCGTTTGCTGTTCAATAGAAGAAACGAAGATACTAGATAAGTGTCTATGAGTGTAAATTTCTATATTGTATGAGTGTGTTTGCGCGTAAGGATCAAACGTGAGCTTCCGACCGTAATGTATGAACTACAAAAGTCATATCACGCTGGATATTGATGTTTAAGGGGATTACCGATTGGAGATTAGAAATTTGGAATCTCCAATCTTCACTTCTCTCAATTTCCAACGCTAAGTCTTATTACGGGTCTTGAGATTCACTCGTCCGCGCATCCCGAAAAATCGAGGCAACTGTACCCCTCTTCTCCTCCGAGTGGACTTCCATTTTTCAATTAATACGTTCGGTTCTTCGCGTATGAAGGTACGCGAACTCATAAACGCACATACGCATGTTTAATTACTACGAGTAACCGTTAAACTTCAGCGTCACGAGTGTTTAACAAGTTATTCAATATACTTCCCGATATTTAACATACAAACGGCTTGCAATTTATTCGATTTACCCACACATTCGTCTTTTTCCCGCTCCTATAACAAATATACAACAAATTAAACAAATAAAGCACGATAATTCATGTTTGCGAAATCAAATCATCACCGATGTATCACCGATTAAACGAGGCAAGCAAGTATCGTGCTTCGCGACCTCGCGACCGTCGATATTCCTTGAGGATACTACGAGGACAGAGCATTCCGCTTGCGCCACGTCCGGAAGCGTGACACGAAGTCGAAATAACAATAGGGGCTCAGCGCGTGCAGCGAAATACAGATCGCGCGATTGGAATAAATCAGAAATGCCGTAGAGAGAAAGAGAGAGAGAGAGAGAGAGAGAGTCCACCGGCATCTCCAATTAATTATTTCATATGACCGACCCCTATAAGCGCGTAATATTCTTAGAATATTATATGAATATTATTCAATATTAAAATAATATTTTTATAATATTCTAAGAATGTTATGTAATATTTTTTAATATTATAGGAATGTGCCGTTCATGTTATATGTCCACTTCACGTAATATTGTTGGCATATTATAAAATGTTTTAAGAATATTAAAAGAAATAAAATAATAATATAGCAAAATATATATAAATAAAATGTACATATATATGTATATAATTCTTTTAGTATAAGACGTATTTTTACACAAAATTCTTTCGACTTTATTTATACGACAAAACAATTGCAAGGTATTGCGATACATTTGAAAATATATAATATTACATTAACATTAGATAATATTTTCTAAATATTATTAAGAATGGACATACAACCAGCTATTAGTATTCCAGAAATATGACTTAATATTAAACAATATCACGCGTTTGTGGAGACGTTACTTCGATCGTCGTCATCGTTCGGCAAACGTACTCGAGGTCGTTAATTAACAACAACGCTCGTTCGTTCGCAACCGTAAGAAACTGAGGAAGAAGGAAGGAAAGAGATCGGAAGAGGGAGAGAAAGCGCGATGCAAACACGAACGGAGGAAACGAGGGCGATCAGAGGCGGGGGAGAGGGGGGGGGGGCCCACAAGGGNCAGGGGACCCAGGAGAGAGCGGGATCGCAGGTGCGGCCGGGCAATGCTGCGCGGTCCCGCCGTCGTGCTCCGCCGCGGAGAGCACCGCGTCCGTCGCAGGACACAGCCGCGACGCTTCCTTTGCCCACTTCGCCCGTAGTTTCTCTCCTGCGCTCCGCCCGTCTCGATGCACTCAACCTTGTGGTCGCCTTGGCGTTCGCCCGGAACCGCGTGGAACCGGAAGTCCCAGCTCGCGAAACCGGGCGAAATCGTGTACGCCAAGACGCGAGCGAAACGCGACCTGAACGGGAAACGGCTGGATTCGATCGTTTTTGCGGCGGTTTCTTCGTGGTGCTGAGTGTCGGAGTGTAGTTTCGGAAGAAGATTCGGATCGCTTCCTCCCTTTCCCGATTTTCTTCGTGGGTCGTAGGTGAAGGTGTGGAATTGTAACGCGAGGACGACGCGCTCTCTCTGCCTTTTAGAGGTGGCGCGCCTACGTGGGACCTTGAGTTCTTCTTTTCTTCTTTTTCCTTTTTATTTTCCTCTCTTTCCTTCCTCGTCGTCATCGTCGTCGGTCACGCGGGAGGAATAGCAAGCGGGAGCTTCCAACAGGTAAGAATCTCACGCGCGTGACTCAGACCTGCTCGGACATTGTCGAAATCCGACGCGGAACGCGCGATCGAATATCCGAGCGCGTACTCCTCGCTCTCTTTCTCGAATAACTATATATATGTCGGCGATTCATTCGCAAGAAATGTGTTATTCTCATAAATAAATAAATAAATAAGTAAAGGATGGATAAATAAATATCCTTCCTTGCGTTTCTTCCATTAAGGAGGAGATTAACGTCGCTTAAAAATTCGAAGGTTGAATTAGCTGTGTTTATTCTTCTTTCTTTCCGTCTGGTCATTATCTTCCGTTTATTTAAGATCATCAAATAGAGTCGCGCTATTTCAACGTGTTTTTTTTTCCTACGCAAGTCATCTCGCACGATCAAGCAAGCAACGTCCGAAAGAAACGAGAAGGCAACATCACACTTGTCGCGTGGGTGAGCCAGTTCGATGTTTCCCGAAGAAGTATGACTCGGCCGACCTACTTCGAAGCTGACGCTTTGAAAAGCCGGCAAATATGATTCGCGCGAACGTGATCGCTTCTGCAACTTGTGATAAAATTCGGGACAAAGTCCTGAAAATTTTACTAACACAATTTTTTTGTCATACTCGAATTATAAAATTGACTCAAATGACTTATAATTCAAGAATTTATTTTCGATAACACCGCATGAATTTATAGATCAGCAGAACAATGTGCGAGGTTCTTCTCGGCTGACATAACGGATTTTGCGCGGCAACGTTTGCTCGTGGATGATCGTAAACGTAAGCTTCGACTCTCCTCGCAACCGAACCGCAAGTCATCGTTCATCCGCTGGAAATCACACACCAGAGTCATGATGAAGACCATAGTTCTCCGTCTGACACTCGTACTGACGTGCACGTCGATTATTAGGTCGACCAGCGACTGCGGCGACTCGAATTTTCACTCCCTCGAGACATCGGAGTCGTCTAGGCTGGAGTGCGGTTTGGCGTTTAAGAACCGTTGCCACTGTCTTAGGACATGTTACGACGGCCATCACCAGTATGTTGTGAATTGCACCAACACCGGCTTCCACGACGTCTCCCCGCTGTCGCATCTACCTAACGAGACGCAGGTACGTTTCTTCCCGGTCGAGCCGCAAAAATGCGTCAGCTACTTTGTCACGATATTGTGCGATTTATACTCATTTCAATATTATAGTATCCAACTGATTTCTCATAATATATTTTTGCGATTTTTTCTTCTGCTGAAACCACTCTTCAAATCAAGAAAACGTTTATCTGTATTTATTAAAATAATCTCTGTTAAATTATTCTCTATTAAAATCTCCATCAAATAATCCAATCTCTAGTAAATAATAATAATGATGTCTTTATTAAAATAACGCTAAATTTCTCTCGGATAGATGATTCAAAGGGTGAAAAATACATTGCGTTATCATGTGATGGGCTGACATTTTCTCACATTCAGGTGCTCATTTTCACGGGCAACGAGCTGGAGGAGCTACCATGGAACGTGTTTGGAACCCTGGACAGCCTGCCGTACCTGCGAGTGATCGACATGTCGAACAATAAAATACGCGAGATCCGCGGCAAGGCGTATCATCACGTTCAGCACGTGGAGCGTCTCATACTCGATTTCAACGAACTCTCGCTGGACCCCGCGAGAAGCCATCCCCGAGTGTTCTCGAATTTCGTGTCTCTCCTCGAGCTGCATCTGACTGACGCCTTCGAGGACGGTCCACCGAGGAATCTGGCGTCGACGCTTCACGACATCTTCGTCAACAGGTATGTCTTGTCGATTCAATTACGGAGAGAAATTATTTTGCCTTACAATCGGGTAATATTCCTAGAATATTATGTAATATTTTTTTCATATTATAGAAATATCCTAATGAGACGCTATATGTCCACTTCATATAATATTCTTGGCATATTGGAAAAATGTTCTTAGAATATTAAAAAATAATAATAATGAAATAGAAAAATACATACACATAATATATAGAATGGAATATTTAAAAAATATAATATTACAATAATATTAAATAATAATACTAGAATATTATTAGGATGTTATGTCTAATATTCTAAAAATAATTCCTGTTACGACAATCTCCCCAGCAACCTGACGCGTCTCATAAAACTACACCTGGAGCAAAATGAGATCTCGGAGTTCCGCGATGCCAACGTGTTCTGCGACCTGCCGAATCTCATGGACCTCTATCTCGGCGACAACGCCCTGAGCGCGCTGCACTTCAATCTGTCGTGCCTGCACCACCTGCGCTTCCTGGATCTGCGGCGGAACAGGTTCGCCAAGGTGCTCGAACGCGATCTACATACCATGGACAATCTCGCTAGGCACGACCGCGAGATGTCCGTCGACTTCTCCGGCAATTCCTTCGAGTGCTCCTGCAAGCTCAATCCGTTCATCAAGTGGCTGAACAAGACGAAAGTGTTTGTGCGCAACAACGCTACCATGCAGTGCCACGAAGGTGATATTCTCAGTCGAAGTCCAATTTATTCTTTACGTTCGAGCGTTTGTATAATTGATTCAGGCAAATTATAAGTCTAAAATTTAAAAAGTCATTGTAATTAGAAACTTAACTAAGTTCACGATTTTATATTTGAAGTTAGAGAAGGAAAGAGAACTCACATTCGAGATTACACGTGGGCAAAATTTGCACTTATAAAGGTAAGCGAAACTTATATTCTCTAACTTTCAATTCTATTTTCCTCGTCAGGTAACGTGAGCCACGAGCTTCACGAGACGAAGAACTGCGCGCCGAAACTGCTGGCCTCCAGCCGGCGCGGCACGACGGTACTGCTCGCCTTCCTTTTTATGGTGTTGGTCGCTCTGATATGCGTGCTGCTGTACTTGTACAGGACGGTGCTTCAGAAGAAGATCGGCACGATCGGGCCGATCGCGCTCGACTCGGTCAACAAGCGAGTGCGATATACCTCGATAGCGACCGGCGACGCCCGCGAGGATGTGTGAACGCGGGGATGCTTTACGTTCCGATGATTTTTTTACACAGAATTAATACAAACGTCGTCGTCGTGTCTACGTACGCGCGCCTCCGCTGATGACGTATCTGACGTGAGAAGTATTGGTCAGTTCCAAATATTCGGCTAGATTTTTCAGTTATGCTTCGCTTTATCGCATTCAACGACCAAGACAAATCGACCGAGTAATCTTCTCCTATTACGTGTCACGGCCGGTATTCATAATCGGATTTCATATCAAAGATCGTCTTAAGTTCATCTTCAGACGTTGTACGGCTATTTTATTGGTTACGCAACATATGAATTTAAGATGGTCTTAAGATCTGATTATGAATACCGGTCTGTTCTTATATTTATTAGGTGTGCAAATTAATTCGGTGTCTTTACATTTAATGTCCTGTAACTCTGATTCGAATTAAAATTTTTTTCCCGTCATATATATATATATATATATATAAACCTGTATAGAAAAAAAATATAAGGAAATATTTAATTTGATAATAATTTTAATAAATAAAAATAAGACAGAAAAAAGACAATAAACAAATAATTGTATAGATCCCTTCAGAAGTAAGAAGAACGCAACATAATTTAAAATTATTTACTTCGTTCTTTCAGTGTATTAAACATATATAATGATATTACGACGACGAATGACATTATTGAAAATAATATAATATGTAGCACAATTTGGACAGTATGACAGTATGACAGTGTGACTAAAGGTTACCAAAGGAGTAAACAATATTTTCGATGTCGCGTTTACAAGCGACGAAAGCATAACAAACGGTAACAATGAAACGACTGTTCAGGACATCACAACATTGCTTCTACATCTGCTCGAAGTGAAAGCTGAAGAAAGTGAGCTCTCGGCCGAAGACATGAATCTTGGACCGCCGTGGCAACACAGGTGGAAGCGCGGTTTTTCCTCCTTATCAATCGGCTATCTGGTGCGACATCTTAGCCGAGCACGCGATAGAGATTAGATACCGCAGGCAGTAGATTTTGAACCGCCTTAATGCCCGCTGCTTTTCCAAAGGTGAGAGCCGGTGGTGCCGCCTTCGTGCGCGCAATTCGCGGATTTCCCAGCGATACCGTCCTCGTCGTCCGCAGCTGTTAGCTACGTCGCAAGCGGACATGTCGCTGGTCGGGCGACTTCGTCTCGACGATGTCGTCACTTCGTATCCGGAGCTCGGCCCCACCGCTCCAGACGGCGGCTACTCCTGGGTCGTTCTGCTCGGGGTCGTCTTCATTCAGGTGCGCTCGTCGCTTGTGCGCCCCCCCGGCTCGATTCTACCTGGTGGACTTATCACTCGCGACCGCCTTCTTTGTTTGACGCGCGCAAACAATGACAGATGCTACTCCCTCCCGAAAGAAAGAGAGGCACGAGGAAACGCGTAATATTCCGGGAATATTATATGAATATTATTATTCAATATTCAAATCATATTCCAAGGATGTTTATTTGTTCTATTTATTAATACGTGGGGACGAAACCAACCCTAATTATTAATATTACTAATTAAAGTTTTACTGATAAAGACTCGATTGGGTTCCTGATTCGCAGATCACCGTGCCCAGCGTGCTGTCGATGTACGGCGTGGTGTTGGGATACCTGGCCAAAGACGATGTATTCGACTTCGACATCTGGAGCCAGAAGATCACTCTGACGCCGATACTATTTGTCGCATTTTGGAGCTTAGCGGGTGCTTGTTTCCTTTTCTCTATAAGCGCGTAATATTCCGAGAGTATTGTATGAAAACAATGTTATTCTTCTTCTTTCCGCGATCCAGATCCATGGACCAGGACGATCACGGACCTCGCCTCGATACCGCGCCTGGTTGGTCTCATCGGAGTGGCCCTCCTCAGCACGGGCATCATCGCTTCCGGTTACCTGGCGACCGGCGGGGTAGGCGCCTACCTGGCTAGCCTCAGCGCCGGGGCAGTGATGGGCATCGGTGCGAGTTTCGTGATCGTGCTGAGCGAGACTCTCGTGCGGAAGCACTTCCGCGTACGGTTGCCGTTAGCGTTGGCACTGAAGAACATCGCGGCCTCCTTCGGCTACACGTTCGTGCCGGCGCTTACGCACTTCCTCCTCCGAGAGACAGGCCTGAAGACTGGCCTTCTGCTGATGACCGCCGCCCTCATCCCTACAGCCATGGGCACGTTGACTTTGCGCCTGCCGGCTCCGCAGCGAGCGTCGCCTTACAGGTATCAGACGTATGTTCATTTCGAAAGGAAAGTTTGCCATAAAGACTTCATCGACACAGATTACTCCTGTCGGGCGACGAAGACAACGAGCTGGGTATCAGAATGACCCCGGACGTTGCTGAGGAAACGAACGCTCAGGACAACACAGCCAAGCGGGACAGAAACGCCACGCCGTTGTTCAGCGAGGTCAACAGCATCTACGCCTTTCAAGAGGACGAGGACGTGGAACTGTTCGTGAATCCGCGATCGGCCGGCAAACGGTGGCAACAGGAGTTCCGTGTGTTCCGCTACTTCCGCTTCTGGGCGGCGCTGATCACGTGGATCGGCATGAGGACGTGCTCGCTTTTCTTCTGGATCTTGATGCCCACCCTCTACCTGAAGTGCGCGCCGCCCGCGTATCACTCCGACTGGGTGATACTGATGGTCGTCACTGGCTTCGGCACGTTCCTGCCGAGCGTCTGTAGTTGTTGGCTGGCCATCGCCACGATACAGTACAGGAGAATTTATTTCGGAACCGCCTGTTGGCTCGGCAGTGTCGTCTTGATAGGTATCACATTTCCACTGTAATATTAGATGTTTTCGCAGTGATATTGAAATCCGTCCTTCATTGAAATTTCGCTCGAAGAAACTTCGTGTGAAATAAAAATGCGAAATAGACAACGACGTTTTTAGGTTTGATTTACGCCAACAACTACTACTGGTTCCTCATGTGGTCGCTGCTCGGCGGAATCAGCATCAACAGTCAACTGATCTGCCAAGACTCGACGCTCTGCGACGTACTGGGGAACCAGTTCGCCCTTCGCTCGCGTAATCTGTTCTCCACCTTCGTCGGCCTCGGCGTGTTAGGCTTCTGCTTTATGCGCGGTGCGTATTAGTGTTGATTTTAATGTTTAGCTAAATTAAATGAATTAACTTCGCTTAAATAAAATTTTCCTCGTTTATTCATTTCCGACGATTGCAGGTGAGAACGTCTGTCTTGAGGTGATAGCGCTATTACAGTTCCTCGGCGGATCTTATTGGCTTGTGCCACCTGTCTGGGACATCATACGAGCGCGAAGACCGGCTTAGTAATATCGTGTAAATTAATAGGTCATGTTTCGCCGCGCAGGTCCGTAGCACATGGCATAGGTTGTTTCCGTTAATTTCTTTAGGGATGAAATATATGATAGGCACAACCGTCTATTACACTATCATACTTTATGACAACTCAACGCTGTCTACTATTGCCATGAGTTGAGTTGAGTTAATGACAGTAATATAGACGGTTGTGCCTATTGTATATATTTTATTATACTAGGAAAGCTGACTCAAACAAGCATTAACGGAAACACCCACTATGTGCTATGATCCATTAGTTGTCAAGAGTTGAAATATCGACGAGGGGAATCATCATCGTGATCAATCTCGGGTGTCTTTATTAAGTGGTAAGAAATACTCTCTAAGGTAATATTAAGAACTGATTTGTACATATATATATATATATA